TTTTTTTTTTTTAAACAAAGTTCATTTTGCTTGTGTGATATTGGACTTTCAAAAAATACATTAAAGATTTGGAATGAGAGGTGCAACAAGAGTTGAAGATTATTTCGATCATATGAATTTTATGTTTACGTTATTAAAATATATATATATATAATTTATATTTACTTGAAATAGAAACTAAAATCTCGCTTAAAAAATATAAAATTATTAAACTTGGTAATATTTAAAAAAAAAATAAAAAATACCGCCTCTAGAAATTAATTAATCAATTTATGGTATAAAATTGACAAAATTAATAAATCCGATTTTGGTATAAAGTGGACGATTTTATTTGATGTATGTGATGACCATTTTTATTTTTTGTAGCAAATGTGTTGTTATTAATAAATGTATGAATTTATGATATAAAGTGGGCGGATTTTTTTTGGTATGAAATGTCTGAGTTTTAATGGTATGATTTTTTTATTTATTTTTTTTTGATAGGATAGAAGTGTATTTAGAAATTTTAAAAACAAAATAAGTGGTATGAATTTTACTTGGTATGGGTATGAAAGTAGAATTTTAGATTGATTTGTTATAAAATTAAGGTGATATGATTCTCAAATTTTAGCATATTCCCTTAATAACATGATAATTCGGCAAATTGGTATGTATTCCTCTTGAAAATCAAAAAGATCATTGAACAAGTATTGGTTAATAAAATTTAAAATTTGTAATTTAATTCTAGATAATTATTTTATAAATTTGAAAGATAAGGAAAACGACAACAAATTTAGAAAATTGCTAGATATATATATATATATATATATATATATCTAGCATTTTTCTAAATTTATGTGTGTGTGTGTGTGTGAAATCTATAAGTTTTTTTTTGTGTAGTCCAAATTTAGATTCTAAATTTAAATGTCAAAAAAGTGATTATTTATAACTTACAGGTCAAAATTAACTTGGATGTAAATGACATAGTCAATTATTTATATTTTAATAAATTACTCAACTACTTAAATTTTTTGATTTGGATTGTTTATACAAAAATAAATTTATTTTAATAAGTGGAACAACTTAAGTTTTATAATTGTACTTATTATCACATCAATTTTTAAATATAAGATAAAATTTTACCAAAATAATTATTTTATTGAATAACATTGCAGTCAAATCAAATTTATGAATAAACATTTTAAAATGACACTTATTTTGAAATAAATATAATGTAATTTATTATTAACTACATGCACCGTAGGGGTTTGTACTAATTTTAAATCAACATGTTTATATAATGTTGCACAATTTTATACGAGGAACAAGAATAAGTAAAATTGTTATTTTTCTTATATCAAGGAATAAATATATATACAAAAAACAAATTTATTTATTAGTTTATGGCTAGCGCTAACAAACTCAGTTTTACGTTCCGCCAAAAAAGTGATGCTAATGAAAATAAGTGGAAAATAGATAATTCAACTCTATTATTTTTTAGGGTTCAATGGACAAGCTCTATGGACTCTATGAAAATTAATTATTTAATATCTCTGTCCCGTGGAAAATAGATGATTTAACTCTATTATTTTTTAGGGTTCAATGGACAAGCTCTATGGACTCTATGAAAATTAATTATTTAATATCTCTGTCCCGTGCATCGCACGGGCTACTCACTAGTAAATAGGTAGATACAATTCTATCATGTGTTTTCTGGAATAATTCTATTTACAAAAATAAAATAAAAGCCAATGTCCGAGATTTTTATTACATTTTGAATTGCAGGCCTCGTGAGTATTTGTTGTAATACCAGTGCAGAGCCCGTGCACGGGTTGCACAATTTTAAAGCTATTTATCCATACTTATAACTATGTACATGGATAAAGAAAAATGTGTAGGATATATATAGTATGTGACCCGTGCGAGGCACGGGATATATTTATTTGGGGAATATTATATTATAAGATGCAATATTAAATAAAAGTTTTATAATACGTAGGAAAATTGTAAACATAGTGCTCCCGTGCAGCATGATCTTAAAATCACCGGATGTCGAACGATACTTTCCTAAATTGTTGTCCACTTGATAATTTTTGATGTAAATGACCATGCCCTCCTCAAAATTCCTCCCTCTAAACGCAGTCAAGTTGATTGTCCGTAGCCATGCCGTAATGCGATTTCCCTAAACATGTACAAAATAGCAATCAGTAAATATTTTTAAAAAACATAAATAATGTAAATATCTAAATATATACACGATCTCTAGAAGAAATAAGGCAAATTCTAAATTTTAAAAATAAAATAAAAAAATCGAAAATATATTTCGTATTTCAAAATAAAAAAAAAAGAAGTAAAAATAATTTGGCTTACAATTTTATCATGCAGAACCAACTCGATATAGGATTTGTATGTGCTGCCGTAGTCTTGAAAAAACATTCTTACAATTCGAACTTTAAGCATAGGTCTATTAGACCTATTAACTTGTTTGATTAAGCTAAATCCTTGATTCATTGTTTTGAATGAAAGACTGATTGGGGATATTTTTTTTCGCGGGAGGTTGAAAGTGAGGAAGACGATCGGTCTTGAGGACCTGTTTGTATATTTATTTATCACGTGTTTTCGGCTCCTTGGTTGTCGGGCCGTACTTTATTATTTTATTAATCGGAGCCAAATGGGGTATCAACACTATCAAATTTGTTTATTTTATTTGTTTTACATACATTTTTTTTTTTGTAACGATTTTATGGGAAAAAATAATAAAATTAAAATTAATTGATGAAAATAGAATGCATTAATTACCTTTGACTTTTCTTCCTACTAATTCTAGTAAATGTTATGACTCTTTATATAAGTATAGATGTCGATCAATATTAGAGTATAAAATTTTATTTTATAGGCTCTTTTGTTGTTGAATTTAAGTACCAAACATTCCAAATTTTCACACCGAAATATCAAAAAATTTAAAAAAATTTAAATAGTGGAAATAAATAAACACACGGAAATATCAAAAAATTTAAATAGTGAAAATAAATAAACACGAAAGATTAAAAAATTAACCTACAAGTGAATATCATTTGTAGACTAAGTAGATGTGTCAAAAATCCACTAGAACAAATCAATTACAATATTTTACAAACAATTCTAAAATATTTTCAACACATAGTAAATGAATTAAAATATATCACGGTTTGAACGAGATGCACTATATCAAATCAAACTAACAAGAAGCGAATAATACAATTATCCCAAGAGTGTGATATGAAAGTAGTAATAAAGAATACAAGCCCGAAGGATCTTTGTTGTCCAAATTCCTCTTTGTCTGTCGATTTCAACAAAGAAACTCCACGCAAAAAGAACCCCATGCTGCTGCTCTTTCCGTTAAGCCGCCACGGCTACTCCTTGATCTGGGGAGGATCCATAGCTTATCCAGGTGGGGCCTAGGCCCCACCTGGAATTTTAATCTTTATTACATAATTTTTTATAATATATATTTCCAAAAAAATAAATATAAATTGTGTAATTTTAACAAAATAATTAGTAAATGAAGTTATTTATTAAGTACTTTTTTTTCTTTTTTTCTCATATTATAATGTCTTATTTATCTGTTGTATCTTTGTATAAATCTATCATGACGTCGCATGCTACTATAATAATCGTTATTAGAGAATTATTGTCAATGAAAATTTATGTCAACTACGAAATTGACTAAAAAATAGAATTATAATAAATTCTTTGATCCAACATATTGAGAAATATTATCTCTCCTCTCCTTACAATTTAATATTGAGAAAAATTATGAGATCTTGTTATATACGACTTAATGTGTTTGCACTTTGCAGTGGGTAGATGAATATTTTTGTTTTGATAATAATACATCAGAATGAATAATAATACTG